TTCTTAGCTCATAAATACTGTACTAATAATATATTTTCTGCTAATGCACATTGACAATTAGTGTATAAAACAAGTTACGTCACAGAATGTAATACATTCTCTGATTGGATGAATGATGTTTATTGTAACATTAGTCATAAGGGACTATTATAAATGTAAGTGTTAGGTTGCAGATGGCCAGGACACCAGTCAGTGATGTAGGTCAGAGAATCCTGCAAATTACAAGATGAACTCAGGAATGCAATTGAACAGGACTGATAGCTACATTGACATACACTCATGCCATAGACTTGATGTGAATGCCTTTGTATTGACGGACAATCCTTCAGCTCTATGTTTTTTATTGAATTTTTGCATTGGTTTGCTATCTTTAATTACAATTTGTGGAAATCTTCTTGTAATCATTTCTATTGTATATTTTCGACAGCTCCACACTCCAACAAACTATCTTATTTTGTCTCTAGCTATTGCTGATTTGCTGGTTGGATTTGTTGTTTTCCCTCTTACAATACAATTCTCCATTAGCTCTTGCCTGTTTGAAAAAGAACTGTTTTGCATTGTTCGCAGTACTTTTGATATCTCTTTGTGTACTTCTTCGATTCTCAACTTGTGTTGTATTTCTATTGATAGATATTACTCTGTCTGCCAGCCTTTGACTTACAGAGCTAAAATAACTGAGAGTGTAGCTTTGGTTATGATATCAGTCAGTTGGACAATTTCAGCTTTTATTGGAATCGGTGTCACAGTAATGAACACAACACCATGTAAGGGAAACTGCTTTGTTGATGTTGTACTTGTAAATATAATAGGTCTTATTTTTGGCTTTTATGCACCAGTGTTTGTAATGTTGTGTATTTATTTTAAGATTTTTCTTGTAGCGCAAAAGCAAGCACGCAGTATCCAAGGAACTCAGAGTGGAGTTAGTAAAATGGAGAAAAAGGCAACCAAGACTTTAGCCACAGTGATGGGGTTATTTCTGTTATGTTGGTTGCCTTTCTATATTTGTACAACTGTTCTGTCTTTTAGCCCTGGTACACTCTTACCTCTAGCCTTCATTGAGCTCCTAAACTGGCTTGCACTGATAAATTCAACCCTCAACCCTTTTATTTATGCTTTTTTCTATAGCTGGTTCAGAGCGGCTTTCAGAATGATCATCTCTGGGAAAATATTCATAGGCGATTTTGCCAACTTCAAATTGCAATGAGTCAAGATTTTGTAATTTCCTACAAGGAGTGGGTGGTTAAAGGTTGCATTTATTTAGTTAAATGGTACTTGATGCTTTGAGTAAGTTGTACTTTTATTTCTGTTATTTTTCCAATCAAACAGTTTGTTTAAACTAGTAAGGTAAAGTAAAAATGTCAATTAATTATTTTTAGTTTAAGTTTTTAATTCAATGAAAATGTCATGCTAAGTCAACCAGAAAAATATACTTTTATTTTAACTAAATTATATTAGACTGCTTCATGAGGCATGTACATGTTCCTTGGACATTGAGATTGAGTGGTCTGCTCGGTGGGATTAAAAAAACAAAAAAAGATCTAGTCTCCGCTTGTTCCTTTTAGTTTTTATCATTCAACAAAAATATCAGTACTTTTAATCAACAAAAAATATGTAATTAAAGTCATAATTGTAGTCGTTATTGATGATTTTTTCCCTTTACCAATAGTAAATAGGAAGGTTGCAACAACACTACTCCAACAACGCTAGCCCAAATACATGCAGGTAAGTCTGTAATAAAGTGAAGGCAAGGGTCTACATAAGTACATTGGTTTTATTTATAATTTGAAGCTATTCTAGTTGCAGTTAATCAGTTTGTCTAGAAGATACATTTTGTTTTATTAACATGAATGAGGGATGTGACCTGTCTGCACAGAGGGCCACACTCAATCACATCAGTGGAAAAGAGGAGAAAAATGGTGCAGGGCTCAGGAAAACTTTATTGTCACTAGCCAACAGGCAGCAATGTGTGTAAAGTGCCTTGCCCTTTGTGTATGCCCATCACAGGTGGGGCTTATCTAAAGCTAGAAGAATTTACAGTTCCAGTAGATCACATCTGATTACTGCACAGTACATATGAATAAACTAAAACTTGATAACTAATCATCAAGAAATGAAAATTCTTACTATGAGCCTACACTGCACCCAGTCAAGCTGCAGGTCAGTGTGGAACGTATGGTCTTATTGCTGAGACACTCACATGAGGACCGGAGCTCTGTGTGCACGTGGTCAGCTGCTCAGAGACCATGTGTTTGTGTGACAACATTTTCTTTATTGAGGAAAAACAGCTGCAGTGGGCTCCAGTGTCTGGCAAAAACAGAATCCAACTGAACTGATCCAGGGAGCTGCAGCACCTTCTCTAGCACCATCGGACTGCACGGTCCACGGTCTGAGCTCCACTAGATACTCTTAACTATACGGAATATTCACAGCCACTGGACCAGAGCTGCACCTTGTACAGCCTGAGCCTGGGGTTACTCTAAATAATTAGAGATATTTTGGTTTGAATTTTCAAATTTTAGTTCAAAGTTGCTGTCATCATCTTAAAACTACAGTAGTGCTAACTCAATTGGTTGTGTGTTCATGTCATGAAATAACATGCATGAGATAATAGTTCAAGCTGTTTCCGTTTCGCACATTTATGCAATAGGCCATTCCAAATCCACAGTGATGTTCCGTCCCCTTGTACTTTTTTGCTTTCTTTTTTCCTCTCAAGCTGCCATATTTTGTACCTTGGACCATATATGTTTGGCTAATCCACTTGTCAATCACGCCCATTTGAACTAGGGGAGATTGACCCATGACCACTAGACACATCTTTGTTAGGTTTTAAAGAATTGTTTATTCTGGACCTCAGGCAAGCTTTTTATTACCCACGTGTTGGAGCTCACCCCAGTGAATGAGAAGGTTGCGTCCCTGTGCCTTTGCAGTGAGGCCACAACTTTCACTGTTGTTTTGGCCTACGGGCCGAACAGCAGTGCAGAATAAATGGCCTTCTTAGAGCCCTTGGAAGAGGCACTAGACAGTGTACTGACAGGGGACTCCATTTTTTTTTACTGGAATAGCCCATGTGGCCAATAATAGTGACACCTGGAGAGAAGTGATGGGGAGGAATGGTCTCTGGATTATAAACCCCAGCTGTGTTATGTTATTGGACTTCTGTGCTAGTCATGGTTTGTTCATTACTAAAACAATGTTCAAGCACAAGATTGCCATGATTGACTTTGTTGTTGTCTTTGACCTTCAGCCATGTTTCCTGGACACTCAGGTGAAGAGAGGAGCACAGCTTTCAAATGGTCACTAGTTGTGGGTTGGGTCAGCTGGCAGAGGAGGAAGCCAGAAAGACCTGGCAGACCCAAGTGTATTAGGAATGTCTGGGGTAGCCCACTGTTAGCAAGACCTTCATCTCAAACATAAGAGCTTCTCCCAAATCCCAAGGAGGCTGGTGACACTGAGTCCGAGTGGACCATGTTCTTTAATGCCATTGCCAATACAGCTGCTCACAGCTGTGGTTGTAACGTCTCTGCATATTGCAGGATAACCCAAAAACCCGGGGTGGACGTGGGAAGAAAGAGATGCCGTCAGGCTGAAGAAGGAGTCCTATTTAGTATTGTTGGCTTCTGGAACTTGTGAGGCAGCTGACAGGTACAGGTATAAGTATACCACAGGTTGTACAGTCGGAGAGACAAAAACTTTAGGTTAGGAGGAGTTTGGAGAGACCATGAAGGAGGCCTATTGGTCAGCCTCAGAGACTTTCTGGCAAATCATCTGACACCTCAAGAGGAGGAAGCAGTGCTTTACCAACACTGTTTAAAGTGACCTCGACTGAGGATGTTGTTGGATTGTGAAAGGAATACTTTGAGGATTTCCTAAATTCCACCGTCACATTTTCCGGGGAGTAAGCAGAGGCTGGAGACTCAGAGGCGGACACGTCCATCTCCCTGTCTGTAGTCACTGAGGTGGCTGGTCAGCTCCTTGTTGGCAAGACTCATGGAGTGAATGAGATCCAACCTGAGTACCTTAAATCTCTGGATGTTGTGTCTTGGTTGACATATCTCGAGGACAGTACTTCTGGATTGGCCGATTGGTGTGGTGGTCTCTCTGTTTAAATATGAGGACTGGAGAGTCTGCTCCAACTATAGAGGGATCCTCATCCTTCCTGGTAAGGTTTGTCTATTCCAAGATATTACAGAGGAGAATCTGAACAATAGGCGAAACCTTCATGTCTGCTCTTTATCAGGGGCCAGAGGGTGTCCGGTTTAGAGACCACAGGAGCTCATCTCTGCTGTTCGCAGATGATGATGTCATGATGGCTTCATCAAACCAGGATTTGCAACATGCACTGGGGCAGTTTGCAGCCAGGTGAAAACCACCACCCCTAAATCCAAGGCCATTGTTCTCTGGACTGGAAGAAGGCCCCAGGGAAAAACCCAGGACATGCTGGAGGAACTGTGTCCGAGTGAGGGAAGTGTGGGAGTCCTTGCTTATACTGCTGCCTCAACAACCCATCCCCGGATAAATTGAAGAAGATATATGGATAGTCAATAAATGTATACAGTAGCAGAGGTCGATGTGTCACTGGTATGACTGTGCAGTGTAATAAATCAGTAAAGAATGCCTGTGTTTTTCAGTCTGAGAATGATAGGCATTCACCAAGGAGTATACAGGTTTTACCATTAATATGTACATAATACCTTTTCATTAATGACTGATGTGGGTTAATATCATACTTTTTTAACCAGTAACTAAAATAATATTGATAAAAATCACTGTCTTATTCTTAGCTCATAAATACTGTACTAATAATATATTTTCTGCTAATGCACATTGACAATTAGTGTAGAAAACAAGTTACGTCACAGAATGTAATACATTCTCTGATTGGATGAATGATGTTTCTTGTAACATTAGTCATAAGGGACTATTATAAATATAAGTGTTAGGTTGCAGATGGCCAGGACACCAGTCAGTGATGTAGGTCAGAAAATCCTGCAAATTACAAGATGAACTCAGGAATGCAATTGAACAGGACTGATAGCTACATTGACATACACTCATGCCATAGACTTGATGTGAATGCCTTTGTATTGACGGACAATCCTTCAGCTCTATGTTTTTTATTGAATTTTTGCATTGGTTTGCTATCTTTAATTACAATTTGTGGAAATCTTCTTGTAATCATTTCTATTGTATATTTTCGACAGCTCCACACTCCAACAAACTATCTTATTTTGTCTCTAGCTATTGCTGATTTGCTGGTTGGATTTGTTGTTTTCCCTCTTACAATACAATTCTCCATTAGCTCTTGCCTGTTTGAAAAAGAACTGTTTTGCATTGTTCGCAGTACTTTTGATATCTCCTTGTGTACTTCTTCGATTCTCAACTTGTGTTGTATTTCTATTGATAGATATTACTCTGTCTGCCAGCCTTTGACTTACAGAGCTAAAATAACTGAGAGTGTAGCTTTGGTTATGATATCAGTCAGTTGGACAATTTCAGCTTTTATTGGAATCGGTGTCACAGTAATGAACACAACACCATGTAAGGGAAACTGCTTTCTTGATGTTGTACTTGTAAATATAATAGGTCTTATTTTGGGCTTTTATGCACCAGTGTTTGTAATGTTGTGTATTTATTTTAAGATTTTTCTTGTAGCGCAAAAGCAAGCACGCAGTATCCAAGGAACTCAGAGTGGAGTTAGTAAAATGGAGAAAAAGGCAACCAAGACTTTAGCCACAGTGATGGGAGTATTTCTGTTATGTTGGTTGCCTTTCTATTTTTCTATAACTGTTCTGTCATTTAGCCCTGGTTCCCTCGTGCCCCTGGCCTTCATTGAGCTGCTAAACTGGCTTGCACTGATAAATTCAACCCTCAACCCTTTTATTTATGCTTTTTTCTATAGCTGGTTCAGAGCGGCTTTCAGAATGATCATCTCTGGGAAAATATTCATAGGCGATTTTGCCAATACCAAATTGCAATGAGTCAAGATTTTGTAATTTCATACAAGGAGTGGGTGGTTAAAGGTTGCATTTATTTAGTTAAATGGTACTTGATGCTTTGAGTAAGTTGTACTTTTATTCCTTTATTATTTATCCAATCAAACAGCTAAGTCAACCAGAAAAATATACTTTTATTTTAACTGAATTTTATTAGATTGCTTCAAGAGACATGCAGACATGTTCTTTGGACTTTGAATGGTCTGCTCAGTGGAATTAAAAAACAAAAACAAATAAGACTAGTCTCCACTTGTTCCTTTTAGTTTTTATCATTCAACAAAAATATCAGTACTTTTAGTCAATATGTGTAAAGTGCCTTGCCCTTTGTGTATGCCCATCACAGGTGGGGCTTATCTAAAGCTAGAAGAATTTACAATTCCAGTGGATCACATCTGATTAATGCACTGTACATATGAATACACCAAAATTTGATAACTAATGAACAAGAAAAGAAACGTCTTACCTAGGCCTACACTGCACCCAGTCCCGCTGCAGGTCAGTGTGGAACTTATGGTCTTATTGCTAAGACATTCACATGAGGACCGGAGCTCTGTGTGCACGTGGTCAGCTGCTCAGGGACCATGTGTTTGTGTGACAACTATTTCTTTATTGAGGGAAAAGGGCTGCAGTGTCTAGCAAAAACAAAATCTAACTGAATTGATCCAGGGTGCTGCAGCACCTTCTCTAGCACCACCGGACTGCACGGTCCACGGTCTGAGCTCCACTAGATACTACCCAACAGACCAGAGCGGTGTACAGCCTGAGCCTGGGGTTACTCTAAATAATTTGAGATATTTTGGTTTGAATTTTCAAATTTTAGTTTAAAGTTGCTGTCATCATCTTAAAACTACAGTAGTGCTAACTCAATTGGTTGTGTGTTCATGTCATGAAATAACATGCATGAGATAATAGTTCAAGCTGTTTCTGTTTCGCACATTTATGCAATAGGCCATTCCAAATCCACAGTGATGTTCCGTCCCCTTGTACTTTTTTGCTTTCTTTTTTCCTCTCAAGCTGCCATATTTTGTACCTTGGACCATATATGTTTGGCTAATCCACTTGTCAATCACACCCATTTGAACTCAGGGAGATTCACCCATGACCATCAAACACATCTTTGTTAAGTATTAAAGAATTGCTTATTCTTGACCTCAGGCAAGCTTTTTATTATTCAACATTGGTTAATGAAAATCTGTTCAATGTTTTTAGGCAGCTAAAAAATGAAAAGAAAAATGCATCATTAATACTAAAGAAAATCCACCCTGAAAAAATGTGCCAAATGGCATAAGAACTTGACTTGACAGTGCCTTATGTTGTCCATAGAGCAGTTAATAGAAGACAAGTAAGAACTCCATGACCATCATACAGCTTTGTTTCCTCATGAATGCCTTACATTTTTATTGAGAACAGACAGGTAGCCATTTAAACATCTGAAGAAGGTTGTAAGAATCCTTGCCCCTTCATGAGCTCCAAAGTTTGAATGACCTGCGAAAAGCATACGAGCAGATCATTCATATGGATCATTGTGACTGTAGCTTAAGCAGCTAACAACAAGAATCATAAAGTGGACTGATTACCAACATTTATTTCTGTATGTCAAGATTTTGATGGAACATGCAATCTCAACATGTATAAACAATAATGGAAAACAGGTCCACTTTTCATATAAGTCTGATTGGATGGCAGTTGTTTCGTCAGTGGTGCTTTGAGGATGGTGTCAATAAAATCAGTGCTTCATCCCAGAGGCACAGTGTCCAGTGTGGGGTTTGTTATTAGATGTGATTGTTAGACCAACATAACTAAGAAGATGAATGTATCCCACACTGTGCATAATATCCATCCATGTTTTCAGTTGGATAATTTTACTATTTTGTTGTTCCCTCCTGACCCGTCTGCTGTGTGTGCTCTGGTGTATCTTGTGCTTGGATTGTTGTCGGCAGTAACAGTTTGTGGAAACCTTCTTGTGATAATCTCCATTGTTTATTTCAAGCAGCTGCACATTCCCACAAACTACCTGATCCTGTCTCTGGCTGTGGCAGACCTGCTGGTGGGAGTCATAGTTTTTCCTTTTAGTATGACTCAGACTCTGACCTCCTGTCTCTATGAGGAAAATATATTTTGTAAATTACGGGATTGTTTTGATGTTACTGTCAGTACTTCATCTATTTTGAACTTGTGCTGTATTTCCATTGACAGATATTATGCCATATGTAATCCTCTCACATATAAGAGCACAGTTACTATGCGTGTGGCGGGGGCCATGATCTTCATGAGCTGGACTGTTGCTGCTGTGATCGGTATTGGTATCATCATTGGAGGTCATAGTCAGGGCACATGTGAGGAGAGGTGTCTAGTTGACTTCTTGACCACAGTAGCTGGGTCCATTTTTGCTTTTTTCATGCCTGCATTTATCATGCTCTGTATCTATATCAAGATTTTCTTTGTAGCTCAGAGACAGAGAAACAGCATCCAGATTTCTAATTGTGGTGCAATAAGTAAGACGGAGAGGAAGGCCACTAAAACCCTGGCCATAGTGATGGGGGTTTTCCTCTTATGTATGACTCCATACTTTCTGTGCATTGTTTTTCTGCCTTTCGCCAGTGAAACTCCACCGTTCTCTCTGATCGAAGCTCTCAACTGGCTCACACTGTCCAACTCAATGCTCAATCCTTTTATTTACGCCTTCTTCTACAGCTGGTTCAGGGCTGCCTGTAAAGTCATATTAAGTGGACAAATATTTACAGGCAACTTCACAAGCACAAGACTGATGTGATTTTTCCATAGAGACAAGCAGATGATGCTAAAAGGCAAAGTTACAGGTTAGATCTGTGGAAATGCAGCAAAATTGCATGTTTTTCAATTTATTTTTGAGAATAAACACAATTGTAATTGTATAAATTAATATATAAGTCTACTGCCATACTGTGGAACATTCATGACAAAGCAATGGCATGGAAACAAGCACATGTTGGACCCTCTACCAGAAAAGTTACACAGTACACCTTTAAGTTATGGATAAAACACAAAGAAATGCCAACAACAGCAGAGAATGAAAAGTAAATTTGCCAACAGTGTGAATGGAGCTGTCCAGATCAGGGGTGTCAGACATACGGCCCGGGCGCCAGATACAGACCTTTAATCTGGCCCTATGCGGATTTTCTACTAAAATATTTAAATTATATTTTCTATTAAAATATTGGTAATTTTCTGTGCCACTTAGCAGAGCAGCATCTCCAGCACCTCTGTGCGTGGATGCCTCCCACCAGAACAGCACAAATGAAGACTTGGCTCTTTCCAAACGCTCTTACAGGGCTATCGTCTTGACTGTTGACCATGACACCCTCATCAGCAAAATGTCAAAAATGAGAAAAGTGGAGCCGAGTGCAGGATTTTCCAAGAAAAATTGACTTATTCCTCTTTGCATACAAGTTAATGTTAAACATTGTGTTGAAATTGCATTTTTCTTAGTTTCAGGTTGTTCATAATATAATATTTTGTAAAAGAAAGAGTTCATCAATTAAAAAAGATTTCTGTAACAGATTTGTGTTTCTCTGCACAAATATTTAAACTTATTGCTATTTTTGGGGTATATATGCCATGAGTTTTCTGATCCGGCCTCTTTGGGATCAAAGTAGGTTGGATACGGCCCCCGGACCAAAATGAGTTTAACACCCCTGGTCCAGATGATACAGTGCAATGCACCAGTAAAGAAGAATCTGATTGAGTTTGTCATTCTGAGAATCACGTGCATTCACCAGGAGTGTATACTACATTAGAGTGACTGGTGAGCTACAGAAGTTTATGTTCTCTGTCCCAACTTCAACAGGCCCAATTGGATTTTACATGAGATCATAGGTGAGCAGGTAAATTAATCTGAATTATTTAAATAACATTTTCAAATCACTCAAACACAATCCAGACTCCTAATAATCTGATTGGATGAGTGAGCAGAGATTTTGAGACTGGTGTCTATATAACGTGTTAGCAGGCCCAGTGACTCAGTAAACAGCCCAGAGAAACTGATGACATTTGACTATAGCAATAGAATCGTGTTGATATATTTATTATAAGGAGCGTTCATCCGCAAGTGACAATGAATGTTGTTTATACAGTGCATAATATCCATCCATGTTTTCAGTTGGATAATTTTACTATTTTGTTGTTCCCTCCTGACCCGTCTGCTGTGTGTGCTCTGGTGTATCTTGTGCTTGGATTGTTGTCGGCAGTAACAGTTTGTGGAAATCTTCTTGTGATAATCTCCATTGTTTATTTCAAGCAGCTGCACATTCCCACAAACTACCTGATCCTGTCTCTGGCTGTGGCAGACCTGCTGGTGGGAGTCGTAGTTTTTCCTGTTAGTATGACTCAGACTGTGACCTCTTGTCTCTATGATGAAAATATCTTTTGTAAATTACGGGATTGTTTTGATGCAACTCTGTGTGCTTCATCTATTTTGAACTTGTGCTGTATTTCCATTGACAGATATTATGCCATATGTAAACCTCTCACATATAAGAGTATAGTTACTGTGCGTGTGACTGGGGTCATGATCTTCATGTGCTGGAGTTTATCTGCTATGATTGCTATTGGTATTGTCATTGGTGGATACAGCCAGGGAACATGTGAAAAAACCTGCACTGTGAATGTGGTTTTGTCTAATGTCTCTGGGCCTGTATTTGCTTTTTTCATGCCTGCATTAATAATGATTTGTATCTATCTTAAAATTTTCTTTGTTGCTCAGAGACAGAGAAACAGCATCCAGATTTCTAAATGTGGTGCAATAAGTAAGACAGAGAGGAAGGCCACTAAAACCCTGGCCATAGTGATGGGAGTTTTCCTCTTATGTATGACTCCATACTTTCTGTGCATTGTTTTTCTCCCTTTAGCCAGTGAAACTCCACCGTTCTCTCTGATCGAAGCTCTCAACTGGCTCACATTGTCCAACTCAATGCTCAATCCTTTTATTTACGCCTTCTTCTACAGCTGGTTCCAGGCTGCCTGTAAAGTCATATTAAGTGGACAAATATTTACAGGCAACTTCACAAGCACAAGACTGATGTGATTATTGAAGGTATCTTGTTTTTACAGTTTTTTTTTTTTAAACAGCTCACACAGAATCCCTAACAGGTTTATAGTTTACCAAAACAAAATCTTGGCTCAACAAAAAGCAGTTTTACATTCAGAACTGATAAGTCATGCTCCAAAAGCAAGCTTTACCATACAAAACTCAGAAAATACTTTTTTTTTTTTGCCCCAAACCGGACGATATATTCAAACATTCTTGTAAAAAATATATAATTTTGATAAATTGGCACACTGGATTTTACAGTATTTTACTGTATCCAAATACCTATGTTTAAGAAAACTCAGATATGTTAGAATAGCAAATGCATCAAAACATTTTTGCCATATATAATGTGTTCTTTAAAATCAGAAAATACATTTACACCAGATCACACTGGTTAAACGGTATACTGTGTGTATGATGTCTCTAATCATACAGTCTGTGCTCTGCTGAGACCCTTCTCCCTCTTTGACATGTGTGTGAAATCCTTTGTTGTTAGATTTTAGGTGCACAAAATTGTTTTCTGCTGCAAATTGTTTTCTCTTGTTCTGTTTGAGTTTCTGTATTGAAAGTAACAGTTTGGGCCATTGTCCTTTATCACATGTGAACAGGACTGTAGTGCTGAAAAAACAAGATGAATTCACTGATCATGTGTGTTTGTAAATGAAAGCTGCATTGTGTGTTCTGAGAAAGAGCTGTACCAAATGATGTGACCACCTTGTGCCTCCATTCAGATATATGTTTAAATCAAAATAAACCACCTTTCAAATAATGTGTTCAAATGACTGGGAAAAAAAGTAAAATGTGCATTTACACTATTAACCTGTGCATTCTTTATCCCTATTTGAAAAAATAAAGACATAATTTACCAGAGTCAAAACCAATGTAATCTAACACTGTAGTCAAGATTAAGACACTTCAGATAAAGCATTACAACGAGGGCAAAATATCTGTTATTATTTACATAAAGGTGAATGACCAGTGTATAAAAAGACAATATTCCTGTTTCTGTTTTCCTAAAATTCAACCCACCCACACTTCAATAGGGGGCATTTTGCTTCTGTTGGGTATTGCTAACACATAAGATATTTAGATCACCATGTTATCTTTTATTGTTTTGAAAATGCTAAATTCACTGAAAACAAAGCATTATCATGTTTTATAAGTTTCACTTTTGTCTTTGTTGATCTTAATCAAAAGTCCGTCCCCTAATAAAACTACTGCACACTGCATCAGATTTTAGGGTAAGGAGGGCTTAAATAGGGTCCTGGAAAGTTTGTTAAATACTCAAGCATGCATTGATGACACAATAAGTTTAAACCCTCCTTCCAAACTTCAACAGGCCCTATTGGGTTTTACAAGCACAAATAATTTTATAGGAATAAAAAATACATGAAGCAGAATTATTGAATAAAATTTTCAAACCACGTCAGGTCTCATCCCATAGATTCAGAAACACAATCCAGACTCCTAATAATCTGATTGGATGAGTGAGCAGAGATTTTGAGACGGGTGTCTATATAACGTGTTAACAGGCCCAGTGACTGAGTGAGAAACTGATGCCATTTGACTGTAGCAACAGACTTGTATTAATATTTGTTATAAGGAGCTTTCAATCACAAGTGACAATGAATGTTGTTTATACTGTGCGTAGTATCCATCCATGTTTTCAGTTGGATAATTTTACTATTTTGTTGTTCCCTCCTGACCCGTCTGCTGTGTGTGCTCTGGTGTATCTTGTGCTTGGATTGTTGTCGGCAGTAACAGTTTGTGGAAACCTTCTTGTGATAATCTCCATTGTTTATTTCAAGCAGCTGCACATTCCCACAAACTACCTGATCCTGTCTCTGGCTGTGGCAGACCTGCTGGTGGGAGTTGTAGTTTTTCCTTTTAGCATGGCTCAGACTGTGACCTCCTGTCTCTATGAGGAAAATATCTTTTGTAAAATACGAGATTGGTTTGATATCACTCTAAGTACTTCATCTATTTTGAACTTGTGCTGTATTTCCATTGACAGATATTATGCCATATGTAATCCTCTCACATATAAGAGCATAGTTACTGTGCGTGTGACTGGGGTCATGAATCTTCATGACTTGGAGTCTCGCGGTTATGATTGGTATTGGTATTGTCATTAGTGGATACAGCCAGGGAACCTGTGAAAAAACCTGCACTGTGAATGTTGTTCTTTCTAATGTCTCAGGGCCTTTCTTTTCATTTTTTATGCCTGCTGTTATAATGCTGTGCATTTACACTAAGATCTTCTTTGTAGCTCAGAGACAGAGAAACAGCATCCAAGTTTCTAAATGTGGTGCGATAAGTAAGACAGAGAGGAAGGCCACTAAAACCCTGGCCATAGTGATGGGAGTTTTCCTCTTATGTATGACTCCATACTTCCTATGCATTGTTTTTCTCCCTTTCGCCAGTGAAACTCCACCGTTCTCTCTGATCGAAGCTCTCAACTGGCTCACATTGTCCAACTCAATGCTCAATCCTTTTATTTACGCCTTCTTCTACAGCTGGTTCAGGTCTGCCTGTAAAGTCATATTAAGAGGACAAATATTCACAGGCAACTTTGCCAACATTAAACTCGTGTGATTTATTTTATTTTTTTCCCATGAAGCATTTGCTTAAAATAAAATCAAGGAATTGATCATGTCTGTTACAAGAAACTTAAATAAAGGGATTATCCAGTTCATGGAAATGGGCTCTGTGGCCTTTGAACATGCACAGTGTTTGTTAGTCTTTTTTCTAGAGATCTTGTGATTTCTATTTTTTAAGTAGATTTGCACAATGTCCCCTTCAAAAGAATAAAGGTTCAGTGACATTACATGAATGTGATATTGAGATTTCCACACGCTAAAACTAAAGAATAGCAATAGACTGTACTTGTTGTAGTAGGTGTATGAAAATTAACTTATACATTGTGAATAACTTTTTCTAAACTAATTAGTCACTTGATACCAACCAATTTACATAAATATTATGATTGGATAAGATATGTTCTGTCCTTGTGGGCGTGGAAAAAAAAAAAAAAAACACCTGATAAAACGTACTTATGCTTTGAGAGTCAACATAGAGACATACAACGTCATGTTGGCTATGCTTCAAGATTATTTTTGAATTGTATGTTTTAGATATGAACTGGACGTACTCTGACACCCATCCTTGTTTTGAATTATATAATACAACTTATATTTTTCTCCACAACCCTTCAATATTATGTGTTTTTATATATATAATACTTTCCTGTTTAAGCCTAGCAACAGTTTGTGGAAACCTTCTTGTGATAATCTCCATTGTTTATTTCAAGCAGCTGCACATTCCCACAAACTACCTGATCCTGTCTCTGGCTGTGGCAGACCTGCTGGTGGGAGTTATAGTTTTTCCTTTTAGCATGGCTCAGACTCTGACCTCATGTCTCTATAAGGAAAATGTATTTTGTAAAATACGAGATTGGTTTGATATCACTCTAAGTACTTCATCTATTTTGAACTTGTGCTGTATTTCCATTGACAGATATTATGCCATATGTAATCCTCTCACATATAAGAATACAGTAACAGGACGTGCGGCTGGGGTCATGATTTTTATGACTTGGAGTGTTGCTGTTATGATTGGTACTAGTATACTGAGTGGAGGAAACAATCAGGTAGCATGCACAGAGACATGTCTTGTTGATATAGTTTTAACTAACATAACAGGGCCTATATTTGCTTTTTTCATGCCTGCATTAATAATGATTTGTATCTATCTTAAAATTTTCTTTGTAGCTCAGAGACAGAGAAACAGCATCCAGATTTCTAAATGTGGTGTGATAAGTAAGACAGAGAGGAAGGCCACTAAAACCCTGGCCATAGTGATGGGGGTTTTCCTCTTATGTATGACTCCATACTTTCTGTGCATTATTTTTCTGCCTTTCGCCAGTGAAACTCCACCGTTCTCTCTGATCGAAGCTCTCAACTGGCTCACACTGTCCAACTCAATGCTCAATCCTTTTATTTACGCCTTCTTCTACAGCTGGTTCAGGTCTGCCTGCAAAATGATTGTATTTGGAGAAATATTCAAAAGTAACCTAGCAAATACAAAACTGATGGGATGATTCTAGTGTCTTCCACTTCACCAGGTCTGCATACCAACTAAACTTCAATGAGTTATACTGTTTGAAGTGTAAATAAAATAACATGAAAAAGTAATGTTGAATATAAATTATGTTGTGTTGAGTTTTTAATCTAACAGGAATATTTTCATTGTAAGCAAATCAAACACCTGTTGACATTTACAACAAGGGTTTCCAGAAAAGCCATCAACTAATTCCAGTGTATTACTTACTTAAGGGGTGGGAAGAAGAGACCAGGTCAATGCCATATTTTGCTTTTATCAGAAAAGGAGTCATTGGGGATACTCTGCTTTAGGAGGCAAAATGTCCCAGTTTTGTCCAGGTGCTGCTTAATTTTTTCTGATGCATTTGCAGCCATTGCTAAACAATTAAAGCATACTTATAGTATGTGGGAAGAAACATGCAAAGGCCCGGGCAGCTCGAGAGTTGAACCCAGAACCTTCTTGCTGTGAATTGTAGATATAATTTATGCTTGGTGATGTATACTATCATCAAGTAAGTTATTGATCTAATTTATGACTGTGCTGCAATAATTTCTAGACTTTAACACCCAATTTAAACCAAAGCAGATACAGTGTGTAAGTGCAGCATACTCCTGTAGGAATTACTTTTAATATTAATCAATCAGACATTCTACACCATGTTACATGTGCATGTAAAATGATATGTTTTACTCAGTGTCATTTCAGTGTCACCAGAGCAACTGTAGACTTTTCAGCAGGGGAAATCCATGGGGTCAAAATAAACTGCTGATTCCCTTTCAAAATAAGTTCTCCAAAAACATAGGAGTCACTTAAACAACGTGCATTGCATCCAGGACCTTAGAAAATGGACAACGAAATATTTTTGTCAATGTGGAGAAATACAATTTTCTTCACAATGTAAATTTTAGAAGTACCCAATTTTACAAGGACAACTTAAGCCTGAAAAGTGCAAACCAAACTTATGCAAATGAAAACATTGTCTCTCTCAGTTTTAAAATCTTCTTCATCTGTCTAATATTTAATAAGTAAGCAATACAGATAGTTTGTAGTAAAGCTGTGTAACATCAGTGTAACACAAGGAGCATATCTCAAATAAAAAGAGGATGGGCCAAGAACTGACCCCTGTGGAACACTGTATGAGTGGCATGGACATTAGCATTCTTGACACATACTGTCCAACCTGATAGATTTGACTGGATTATAGTACAGAGAGGAAAGTGAGAGTAATGACCTTGCTATAAAAATAAGAACTGAACCACTGTAATTTCAGTTCAGTGGGACAGTTTGTCCTCATGGCTAATGGAGTAGCTGTGTGCTTTTGTAGCTACCTGGCTCACACACTGAGCACCATGCAGCCATGTGCCAGGACACAAGTAAGGGACTAGTACATTTTTATATGAGTTTATTTTTCCAGTATTCATGGAGACTGTGCATGAGGCTAGCTAGGTAAGGATCTAGCTCTTAATTTTGCTGCAGTTTTTTTTTACACCATATATGGCAGCAAATGTGGCAGAAGACCTTCCTGAGGAAATATTCCAAGACCATCCAGAGAAAATATATTGAGTAAAAGAAGGAGGCCTTTTCGGTTGTGTTCATCTGGTTCTCCCCTGATGATGCTGTGATACTGCAGGATACAGAGTAGGGATAGAGGCTGTTGATTTCCTCAAACTGCCTTAACAGAGGATCTGCTGACCCTACCTGACTTTATGTTCTGTGCGACTGAGAAGTGCGGTGTAAATGTTGCAGCAAAACTGCAACATTTTGCTGCAGCAAAACTTGATTTTTTTTTCTCAGGATGAATAAAGTATCTCTCTCTAATATGAAGTAAATGATGTAAGATAAATCTGAATGGTATGGAGTAAGAAAGCTGTCAAAAATATTTGTGCGCATAAAATAGAAATCCGTGCGTATTTGGGAAATCCGTGCATATTTGGCTGTAGTTGCGCATAAAATAAATATTTGTAAACTCTCAAATGAGTCCAGTCGTACATAAAATATATTGTGTGTATTTTATCCATCAGAATACGACGAATGCCACCAAAAGTTCCTCGGGACGCTGAAATGTCCCAGTTTACACCAAACACTACCAAACTGTCCTGGTTACAGACGTCACAGCTAATGAAATGTTACATATTACAGTTTAATGCAGCTTCCAGCATCAATTAATGTTCGTGTTTACAGGCAACACCTTGGTATGTTTACAGTATTTACCGGTAAGTTTAACGTCACCGTGACGTGGATGGATTTGCTCATTATAACCCATTATAACTCATGTATAACCCATTGTCTGAAATGCAGCTGAGATGAAGACTGGCTGATGCTCGCTGTGGCTGTAGTCGTGAATGTTTTAATCTAAACATACAGAGAACCTGATATTTGTTAATTAGCCCTGGGAGAACATTACGTCGGATGTTCGCCAACTGGCTCCACTATGTTATCTAACATATAGGTGCAATTTCCCGTTCAAAGGAGGTGTTTCTACACAATATTATACAGCAGCGTTCGGTTCCCGAATTCAAGACATTTTTACAATAGATTTTAATTAACCCACTTGTTGGTCGTTGTTGTAGCTTCTTGTGCTATTACTCTGTTTTTACCCTCTGCTACAAACTTGAGCATGCGCAGTCTTGATCTTGATTGATGTTTCTTCTGCTTGATGAATAATGTCTGTGAAGTGATGACGTATTTTTGACAGTAAAGTTCTGTCTGTGAATTCGTATTCGTACTGATGAAAGCGTAATCGTAAATTTTCATTTGGTGATTGTAATTCATGACGTCGTAATTTTTCAATTCGTATTCTGATGGATAAAATACACACAGTATATTTTATGTACGACTGGACTCATTTGAGAGTTTACAAATATTTATTTTATGCGCAACTACAGCCAAATATGCACGGATTTCCCAAATACGCACGGATTTCTATTTTATGCGCACAAATATTTTTGACAGCTTTCTTACTCCATAGAATGGCAACTAACTTTGCCAGAACCATAGACAAGAACCTTAGACTGTGCTTATGATGTGGTCCTGAGCTGGCTTTTTGACAACATGACCACTTATAATTGAGAGATTAACAACTGGCATAGCAAGAATGTTGAAAAGATTCACTTCAGTGGAAAATTGTATGTTTAATTACTTAATAACTGACTTCATTATGTTCTAGTAGTGTCTACTACTGTATTGCTCTGTTGCAGAGGCGGAGGGAGCACAGAGTAGTGCGGTGCTTAGGGACTTGCATAACTTTCACACCTGTAATAAGTGCATTGGGACCATCATGACAGATAAACAGCAAATGCTTTTGTCTTCTTGTTTGTTGTAGTCAAAAGCATTAGACTAGATTGGTCAAAAAAAGTTATTTAAATTCACTGAATGTCTAAGGGGTTCCTTGGTTACAATAATATTAAATAATCTAAATATTCTTTTAAATGAACTCAGTTTTGATAAAGTCCTTACAAACTCTTCAAAAGGAAGAAATCATTTGCCTGGATCTCATGAATAAGGACTGGTTTTCATCAGAGTACCACACATATATAGTACAGTATATACATACCACACAATGGTATATACATATCACACTTAATTTGCACATACACAATTTTCATGACCTGTGGCCAGACAAAGTTCTGGGTTCTCTGCTCTGCCCATTTCTCTGTGTACAGGCCAGACTGACAGTTACCATCACAATCCGTGTATCATTCGTTCATTCGTTTTTCAATATAAAACCAAAAATAAGAAAACGAAAAAACAACAGTTTTCTTCGTTATTTGTCTCCAAAACCAAAATAAAAAAAACGGATAACGATTCGTTTTTTCAGTTTTCGATTTTGTGTTTAAATGAAGAATGGAAAAAACGGATAACGGCCGTTTCCCGTTTACGTGACTTCCGTGACTGCGATGCCGAACTTTTGCACCGGGGACGGACTGAACCGGAACTGATCCAGGTCCGAGACCAGAACGGGACTGAGACCGAGACCAGAGCGAGACTGAGACCGAGACTGAGACCGAGACCAGAGCGGGACTGAGACCGGAACCAGAGCGGGACTGAGACCGGAACCAGACTAGGACCAGAGCGTCACTGAGACCGGGACCAGACCGGGACCAGGGCGGACTCCGAGCTTTGACTCCGAGCCTCAGCTTCGAGCTCTGGCCCTGCTGTGGGCTCCGAGCCTCCGGTCTGGTCCCGGTCTGGTCCTGGTCTTGTCTCGGTCTTGGTCTCAGGCCCGCTCTGGTCCCGGTCTGGTCCCGGACCTGGTCCATTTGAACCAAAAGCTCTTAGTTCGATTCATTTTCATTGGTGTGAATGCATCAGTCAGAGGCTTTGCACCACCTCGGAACCAGCCGCGGTTCTTGAGCACAGAGGACCAGAGCAGCTCTGTCCTGGTCTCAGTCCTGCTCTGGTCTCGGTCTGGTCTCGGACCTGGATCCGTCCTGATTCAGTCCGTATGCGGTGAGACTGGGACCAGAGCGGGACCAGAGCGGGCCTGAGACCGAGACCGAGACAAGACCGGGACCAGACCGGAGGCTCAGAGCCCACGGCAGGGCCGGAGCTCGAAGCTGAGGCTCGGACCCCGTGGAGGCTCGGAGTCAAAGCTCGGAGTCCGCCCTGGTCCCGGTCTGGTCCCGGTCTCAGTCCCGCTCTGGTCCCGGTCTCAGTCCCGCTCTGGTCCCGGTCTGGTCCCGGTCTGGTCCCGGTCTCAGTCCCATGTCTCAGTCCCGCTCTGGTCTCGGACCTGGATCAGTTCCGGTTCAGTCCGTATGCTGTGCAAAAGTCCGGCATGCAGTCACGGAAGTCACGTAAACGGGAAACGGCCGTTATCTGTTTTTTCCATTCTTCATTTAAACACAAAATCGAAAACTGAAAAAAACGAATCGTTATCCGTTTTTTCATTTTGGTTTTGGAGACAAATAACGAAGAAAACTGTTGTTTTTTCGTTTTCTTATTTTTGGTTTTATATTAAAAAACAAATGAACGAATGATACACGGATTCATCACCTA